ACTTCGACTGCAATCACGCACAGAGCAGTGCCACATGGTTCTGTCTGTCTGTATCTTCGAACTCACATCGCTGACCTTTTCTGTTTTACTCTTTACTTTTAGTGGTATCTTGTTAGGCCACTTTCCCGTTTGCGCCTGACATTATGTACGCGTAATATTTTTAAATCAGCATTTTTTGTTATGTTAATAGCAGAGTCCTCGTCTATAGTAAGCCATTTGTGACATAAATGTTTTCCATCGACTTTTCAGTTCCCTTACAGTTAGTTTTACGGTATGTTTTCGACATCTTCCTCCCCCTGACATAAAGGACGCCTCCCTGTAGCAGACCCTCTCACAGTCTTTAAATTTATTTAAATCCCATTTAAAATGCCAGTGTCTACGGCATTTTGTAGCGTGGTCAGTTTTTTAAGTGGAAACGTAAAATGTTGTATCCTGCGAGTCTCCTCAAGAGGCTAGTTGTCACTCACGTGACCTAAAAATTCCACTCCTTTTTAGGGAAGCCAAAGATTCATTACCTTGGTCACTGGACTCTTCGATTAATCCAGTCCAGATCTTTACACCCCCTTTACGTCAGATCCACCCACCTCCCCCCCGCGTGCTACGTACGATTCTTATCCCATCCTCGCATAATTGTGTTTGGTGAGCGACGTAAATGAAGAAGCTCCTATTCACTCAGTTTTGATTCGCCAACTGTTGATGTAAAATCCCACGTCTTCCGGGTTGTAGGACTGGATCCACCGATTATGGCCGCTGACAGTGTAGGGAGTGCCCAGTAAGCGGACCACTCAATGGAGGAAGGAGTTTCCGTCGGTCAGTACAGTCTGTGTAGTGTCAACAACATGCCACCTGTTCGTTGCAATCTCCTTTCTGGTCATTGACAACGCCTCGTATCGCAACACTCAGACAGACAAACCACCGACGTCTTAATCAGAGAAGGGCAAAATGAAAGCCAGGCTATTGGGCGCTACAACCCAGAAGACAGCCATCTTCCTTCTCGCCGCCGCGAAGACATCAAATCCTGCGTGTGATTATTTACGTGCGGTGCTTTTTAAATTGCAGTTTCGCGACACAGCCGTTTGCTCGTTGATGCTGTCTCTGCAAGCCTTTGGGGAAATTGGCACAAAGTGGGAGGAAATTGCAGTAAATCAGGCGACTCGTAATAGCGTGTCTATAGTTATCAGATGTATGAAGACGAGAAGGTCGCGGAGGGCAAATTGTGAAGCTCGGTTGACCTTTAGACAATTTCAAGGTAAATGATCCAGGTTAATGAAAGACGGACCGACAGACAGACGGGCTTATCGATTACATAATCGAATAAGAGGCACTCATGTTGCTTGCCCCGAAACTCTTTATACGTCACAACCTGAAAAAAACAGAGAAGGATGTCCGATAATCTCGTTTCACGCACATTTAAGACGCGCTTAAACGGAAGATCTACGACTGTTTTATCACTTAATATAATCAGCGTCTCATCAGTTGCAGAACTGAGACATGGCCGTATTTGCATACGCACCGTTCTGCCATAACTGGTCTACTTTCGAAATCATTTCGCTAAAACCGGATAGCTCGATGATGCTTACATAAATCAGGCCCAAGGCCCCTTCAGGCCCGTGAGCCGGTCAGTAATAATGCGAACATCGGCATTGTTGTGGCCTGCCTTGAACCAAGTCGCTGGTTGGTACTTAAGATGATAACTTCAAGGACTTGTTCTGTTATTTTTGCAGTGGACTTGTTATAACTGCGTCAGATATGTGAATGCTGTGGTCTGGTTGGAAAGGAAGTATGTAGGCCTAGGATACAGTATCCCAATCAGAAGGCCCTCATTATGCAGTTTTCTCCGTATCAGATTACAAAATGAGCCAAATTGGATTAGTTTAACGTCGAGGCTTTGTATCGAGCGAGGTTCGTGAAAATCGGACGTGCGTCGCGTGAGGCTGTCTGTCAGTACGCGGCGAGACCCGGATGTGTTTGGTCAGGATCCAGCGACTGTGCGCCGTCGTGCCTATGCCCACAGTGCGCGATGCTTCTTGTAGTTAACTGCTTCATTACTCAGATGGAAGGAACAGCATCCAGCAGAAGATTCCACGTGCAAGAGAGCGGCCGCTATTAACAAATTGGGTAGCAGCACACCTGCAAGCCCCCGGGCTGCCAGCGAAACTCGCCTCAGCTGGTCGCTCGTCGCTCTGCCACCCTGCCCGCTCACTCGAGTGAAACTTCTGCCTTCTGGCACCGGCCGTCCTCCATCCTTGCCTCAAACGAACACGTAGGATCTTCGGTTGCGAGACAGTGTTTGGAGATCGCCAGAAAGAGAGGTTTTCATGGTTTTCCTGAGTCCCTAGGGAAATGCCTTTCATTATTCATTCATCATCCAATCTTCCGACGGTCTGAGCAACTGGTAGCGTCGTTGAATGAACGTCAGGAAAGAGTAGACTGGGGGTGTTAAGAGAGCGCGGGACTGAGGAAAACCACGCTAATCACATATCCGGGCCCCCTTCACCCATGTTTCGAGCACGGCGCCTCCTTGGATGTCGCGGATTGGATGAAATTTCGTGCAGAGTCCACCTCGTGTGAAAGAGAGTAATTGAAGTGTCGTTGTTAGCCGAGGGTGAGGGCACGCACGCACGCACTTTCCAACTGCGGTTGACGGTGAGGACGTAAATGGATCATCACGGCGTGAGAAAGGCAATGAAGAGAATGTGAGATAAACAGCTCGGAGAACAATAAAATTACGTGTGTGGTTCAGTGCAGCTGTCTCCATGCGAGTTACCGGCTATTTTAACCCATAAACTGAATTTAGTCTCAACTCAGCCGTCACCCCTCGTTTAGAAAAGCTCTCTCTTTCTCTCTCTCTCTCTCCACTGTCATTGGAATTCCAGCACGCGTGGTCTCGACAGTTCGTTCCTCAGTCATTAACGTCTTTCAACAAACACTGGCGTGAGTGGAAAAAGACAATTTAAATTGTACATTAACGTCGCATATTTGGGCTACAGCGCTTATCAGAAACTGCTCACCATAGTGACTCCATGGAGCAGGTCTTCTTTGAGAAGCTGCTGGCTAAAAGATTCCTCGCCTTTTGTGGTGCTCGGGGGCCCACATGACCTCGTGAATTGTCTGCCCCTTTCCTGCATTTCCTGACATTTTGTGAAGGGCGCATTTCGAATTGCTTCACATGCAAATGTGGTCTATCTAAAATAAACAGCATCACACGACTAAGAAGACAAACATTTATGGTTCGATGACGATAATTAATTAATAAGCCACTGGGCACAAAACGTTTGGAATTTTGTCTGAGCGGTGTACGAAACACGTGTTTGTGTGTTTAGACCTCAACTACTCGTATGAGACGGTGCAGATCTTTAAGTTACGCAGATGAATTTGAACGAGCCCTCGCGGTAGGCAGTTTCTTGCACGATCTACAGTCCACGACTGTAATCTTGAGACTTGCGGGGTGAAGGAGGAAAGATAGCGCCTGCCTTTAACGCTACGGACTTACTGCATTCATTGCAGGTCTCAAGATTACAGTCGTGGACTCTACTTGTCTTGTGTTAGTGATCGCGCTGACAGGCGTTGAGGCAGAGCCAGGTGGACTGTCGGAGCCTTGGTAGGTTAGGTTAGGTTGGAAGCCTCTTCCTAGAAGAACGTCCCCAAACGCCACTGGTCCATCCATCACAGAACCCCCACGGACCTATCTGAAACCGAACCCAGAACTTCCCGGCGCCTGTCCGCCTCATGGCGTGGCTTTGCCTCCGAATCTTTAGTGGAACAGTCGAATTGCGTTGGATCACATGAAATATTTTCGAAGTGAAGTCACCGTCGACCAACCGGTCAGGTGTTTTTTTTAATCGCGGGGGCAGAAACAGGTCAAGCGGATTCAAATGGTGAAAGCGAGCGGCGTCCGACGTAAAGGTCAGGTCACTCGGAGCGAACGCAGGCACTTGCTAGGGGCGACAGTCAAGCCGAATATTAGTTTCTGAAAAAACTTCTAGCAGTTAAACGTATCGTAATTAACACAGGCAGGCCTCGTTAAAAGCAACCTACGACATTTACACGAATGACAATTGGCAGTTTTGTTGATGAGAACAACATTCTGGTATCCGGGTCCCTTACCTGCACCGCGTATTCCGAGCTAGAAAATATAGCCATTGGACTGGTTAATGGAGAAAATTCTCCTCGTATGAAGCAGCGTGGAGGACCACGTGGCCGGTGGATGTGAGCGTTCACAGTTTCCTTATCTCACGTGACCTGGCTGCTGCATCAGGCATCGCCGTCGGACAAACTGAACTGCGTCTGTGTCTGGCCCCCACATCACCGAGTGGCGTTTCGTGTCTCTCTCAAGGTAATCTTGTGTTACGCATCTGGGCAGGATATTTTGCGGTGTGGTCTCTCCTCCGTCGGCCACGGCAGTGACTGTGCCTTTATTATTTATTTACTTTTTAGCGTCAGATACCACAGGTTGCGCAGCGATGCAGCATGCCGGCCCGGAGCCTAGTTACTTCGCTCCGTCTAATCCGCAGCGGCAAACATTTTAGGCTCCGGTTGATGATAGTAGAACCAGCGCGTTGCGTAACGCGATGTTACGTTTCGTCTTACGTACATGATTTCTGTGCGCGCAATCCAATCCTCTGATGCGCACTCTTGTTTGCTGCAAACACATATTCCAATCCTTTATTTTATTTTTACCGAATTCGTAGCTGGCGGCGTGTTCTTCCGAAACGTCGGTGAGAACCTACAGGTCCACACGGCCAGAATGGCCCAACTCCGTCGAGTATGATGTTATGTAGCCCCTCAGAACACCCACCGGGCCATAATATAACATAATGTTGTCGAAAGGGTTTTGGTGCTTAGCGAAAAGGCACGTTCAGATTTAGAGACGGATGTCTCAAGTTTTGTGATTACTTGTTCACTTTGTGCAAACAATGCATGAACGCCTGAATTCGTCTGATGTTGTGAATGGGATTCGGATCGGAAAGGAACAGATAAATAATAAACACCACGAGAAGTAGTGACAAAAGAGCATTTATTGACGGAACAGGTTCGTCCTTACACAGCTGCTTCGGCCGAGGCCGCCTATATATATATACAACAGAACTGTACATACGAACAGCTGTCCTGATACTTACAGACCGAGTGTACTAGAAAAATGACTATCATACATTATTCACAGTTAAAAAAATAAATATTTATTATTCCATCTCCAGGTACGATAATTTCATTTCACTTAACTACGACCATTCACACGTGGCGGACTCAGAACGACCCCTTCGCCTCGTTTGACCCTACGTCATCGTCGTGACGTTTGTTCAATAAATATGGGGTCATTGATCACTGCTCCCGTTTTGAAATCTGTGGTTCTGCTTCTGCAAAGTTGAACAGTGCGCCAAGCATCGTGTAGACTAGTTGGAATTTATAATTAGTTGGGAACACAAGGCTATTTACTTATTCTGAAGCCTGAGGTTGATGCAGACTGACATCCGTCTCCACGATTTAATTTTTTATTTCCGTACGAAAGATACTTTCTCACTTATTTGCCCACATAAACGTCTCCTTCGCAGAGAGGAAAGTGGAGATCCCGGCCCTCCCCTCGCCCTCGGTATGCGACCAGAATCCAGGATGGTCGAAAGACATAAGAAAACTAGGGGACCGTTAACACTTCCTGACAGAACGAGAATAATGCACGTCCGTCGGCTCATCGTCAAAAGAGGAAACTGAGCTTACAGAGGACGGATAATCCTCTCATAACTGTACTGCAAAGCAGATTAGCAACTTAGGTCCGAGAGGAAGTAATTTGTTTATTTTTATTTTTGAAGGCCTTAGGTATAATTCAACGTTTCTCACAAACGAATTCCTGTCAGAATATTTCCCGTGTCTCCGATACAAATTTTCTGCACGTGACTTCGCAGAGAAGAATAGGAGATACTGAGAAAATCCACTCGGTTTTGAAGTTACAGTGATTCGAGATTTCGGATCAAAACGAAGTTTACTATAGAAAAAAAAAAGGCAGTATGCACGTCGTGAACAAATATTTAGTTCCGGGCTTGGTCGAAAGAGTCTCTGATCCACTGATCTAAAGACGCTTCTGGTTGTTAAGCGAGCGCGTAGCCTGTCTTCTGTTAATCGCTACGTGTTTCTCGTCAGATCAGCTGTTCATATTTTAGTAGTTCCAACGTTTAATTTGTTCTTTAACTGCCTGAGCACTTCCTCGTGACGTAAACTACGCTGTGATCTGTGAACTATCTCATCCCATGGCCTAAATGTAACAATATACACAATCTTTCTTGTGAATAAAGGTGTTATTTAGAACACATGATACGGCGGGCAAAGAAATCTCAGGGCAAGGTTGGACGCAACAAACTAGGTTTTACCTGAGGACGGAAACGTCGTTTCCATTTAAAATTAGGACGCCCATGAATTTTGTCGTCGGAGTGCTAAGGTAAAATGTTCTCACTGACTGGCGCGCAGTTGCGTTCTATTTTTGATCAAACAGCACAAATATTAGTGTTTAAATTGTCGTGGAAGGAGGAAAAATGAAGATCGCTTCGAACACGTGACTGGGCCTGTATTAGTCCAGGTTACAGGTTTCTTTCGCTCGTATTTTGTGATGTAATGCGTAAGAAAAATAAGCCTCGCGTCAGGTTTGCTTGGCTCGCAAACAAGGTAATTATTTAGCTCGGGTTTTGTTTACACTTGACACTTGGTCTCGGTCCAAATAGATTTGCCTTTCTTCTGCCACTCCCCTCCCCTCCCCTCCCCGAGGCGTTAGTTGCTTGTCAGAATAAAAGTCGTTGGGTGAGGTTGTACCAGCGAGACACAGATTCATCGTCAGGGAAAATGCCACAGAAAGTGTAGGCCGTCTGCATGTCGTCAGATTCTACTCATTCCACGTGTATTTGGGGTCTTGGATTTACAGTAGTTCACGTGTCTGGTTGGGGACCTGAACGGTTACTTTTATGTTTCGAGTGGAACGATAGTCTGCATCAGTTGTCATTTCTTGCTCATGTCTGGTTACGTACATCACCCAAAAAACAAAAATGACCATAAACAATCAGAGAAACAGTTTACGGGGAAATCGGGTTGTTGTTTGACTCGAAACCAGACATCCGCCGTTGTTGTGATCGAGCAGTAATTTGTTGAAAACTTTTCTGCAATTCCAGACACATGTTTTTTTTGTTTTTTTGTTTTTTTTTTTGAAATTACATAGCTGATATTTTTACTTTTATGGAATTGCTCGGTTGTGGAGATCAACTAACCAGACAAGGAAAGTGGACTAAGTCCATCATCACCGCTTGCTTCGTCACCAGCCGGGCAGTATGAAGGCGGAAGGCACTCGACCAGTTGCCATTCTCATATATACATTGCATTATCCTGCCCGGCCACAACGGGAGACAGAGTCGTAACAACATTCAAGCTCTTAAATTATTCGACACGGGGCACTGTTAAGAGTCGCGCCCAACGCATCTAGTCACACACACACACACACGCCCACCCGAAATCGACAATTTATTATTCTCGCATGTGTGTTAACCTGGACGAACTGCCCGGAACAGTGTGACGTAGAGACGAGTCTGGAAGAAGTCCGGAATGTTTACCGGCAACCACACCCCAGCACAGCCATGTCTTGATAGTTCTTGAGTACCACCTTGCTTTCCTCGTCCAGATACAACATGGAGATTGATGTGAGGGATGTGGGGACGCAACATGCTTTGGGCACCGCACTGGGGTTCACGGAGTTCACCAGAGTCTGCACGATTGCGTGGTTCGTGGAATTGAGGTGATCTGCCAAGGGGAACGGACAGTCGCCGTGGCAGTAGTAAGCGTCGTAGCCCGGTGGGGCCACGATCCAGTCGTTCCACCCGACGTCCTGGAAGTCGACGTACAGCGGATACCTATGGCAATTCTCGCGTCCGTCCTTCCTCTTCCTGGACTGTGCGGCGCGTTTGGAGGAATGCGGGGCGCGCTTGGACCTACTTACGATTGCCTCGCCAGTCCTCGGCCGGTGCTTCCCGTCGTCTGTGTACGTGAACAGGATCGGCTGTTTCGGCAGCCATTTTGCGTCGTCTTCGTCTAACGCCCGGCGCAGTCGCACGTTATTTCGAGTCGCCGGCGTTTCGCTTGCGGAATCTACGGGCGTCACTTCGATCAGGAGTCCGTGATTCTCACTTGCTGCCTCGATCCAGCGCTCGACGGCCGGAACTACGTCCAAGATTATGGGATTGTCGTCTCGAACGTCCACAACTTTTGAATCGATGAGGCGGGTTATGGGTTCACGACGCCCCTGGATTCCTGGCTTCACGATGTCGTGTACCAGTACCCACTGGAGGTAGCGCCGGGTCGGATTCTTCCTTGGCCTATCGGCTGGTCTCGCTTTTCTGGCAACGTTGGCTGTGACGCGGTTTGAAGTCGCTGTTCCTTCGGAAAGCCTGCCGCCGACAGCCTCCGGGTCCGCGGGATCTCGGTTTAACTGCAGCTCGGCTGCCTTCAGTTTTTCTCCTTTGGGGATGTTTTTTATGTCGAAGGCAAGACGGAATTTCTGTTGACTCGGGAAACTTGCATCGACGCCGCTTTCTGGAACGGCAAAGAACACAGTGGTCAAAGTTTCGCTCTTGTGTTATCATGGCATGACATTAAGGCGATCGAATCAATGATGTTACGGGCGGGGCGTGCAGCACGCGTGAGAGAGATACGAAATACAGAGGTCTTAAAAATTTGAGTATGCAATTCAGGAGGGAAGGGACCACTTGAGACCCAGACTGAGAGGGAGGATAATATTAAAGTTGAGCCCTGAAGATGGAGACCGTACGTTTCTCCGAATTGTTGGTATTTACCAGTGAGTCCACACGGCGTCATAACCCAGAAGAAAAACGTCATATTCGCGGCGCTGAGAACCTCAAATCTCAAATTTGAATCTGTTCTTAAATGCGTAAGATGCAGGCTATGGGTGTGAACTGGGCTCTGTGCATCTCGTTCTTGTGAACGTTCGGGTTTATAACAGGCGGGAAGTTTTCTGGCCAGCTGAAAGGCAGCTTCGTAAGTAGGCCTGTACTCCATGGAGTTACTGCCTGCCTTAAGCAGCTGCAGGTGTGGCGGAAACTTTGGACACCCCTTCTTAATAACTTGTCAGAGCAGAGGCTTAGCTTGCGGACTCGTGTATTCTTAGGTTACCTTTGTTGTGGTAACAATGTAACCCGATATTTTATGAGGTCTTTCTGTTCTGTTAAAAATAGAAGTTAACAATACGACTTGTGTATGCATGAAATTTTTGACAGTTAACAGTACTTCGTCCTGTTTGCCTGTTTGGAAAATATCTTCACAAAAAGCACGGTCGGACAGAACCTGCGCTCTGCTGTTTAAACAAGCCTTTGTGTGACACACTGAGCGTAAATGGGGGTTTAAGTGGCTTATAACAGTTCGGCAGAATTAGTTGGCCCCACAGTGTAATAGTAACGAGATCGTTGTCTGTCCGTCCGTCCATCTGTTTGCCTTCTTCGTTACTTGACAAATCTGCTAAATTAATGCAAGACCTGACATTTCTTTGCGGGGCGTCGAAATGTCGGCAATGGGAAGGCTGTTGTTCAAATGGCACGTGTGCGGTGGTTTTAGAAAATCAGCCAGGAGATGTTCGAAGGCTACTTTAGATGTAAATAATTGCACGGAGATGCCGTGGGTGGTGTGCTAATTGTTAACATAGGAAGTCGGTAAGAGGCAGCGTGGGGGACATTGAATAAAGAATCTATATGCGAAACGTCGGTCGGTGGAGTGAGTGAGGTTTGTCTACTCCGGAGAGATTTAGGAGACAGGTTCGCCGTCTGACTTAAGTCAAGGTAAATGATGGAGAAATTTGTTCTTATGTCTGGAAATGAAAGTCGTCTCTGAGATCTCATTTACCACAATTCGATCGAGATGTATGGAGGAGTGAAGGTACGGCTCCACGCACTCCTGCCTTGTATTCTGAAGGTCCCGGAGGCGAAATATCCTAACTGAGGTTTTCCCCTGCCTTCGACGCCCTTTCCAATTTATTTTTCACTCACATCCTAACATTAGACGCTATACAGCCTGATCTATTAACAGCGCCATTAAACAAACCACACATAAATGATGATAAGTCGCCACCACACACTCCGGCCGCATAACCCCCGAGGAAGAAGACGGCGAAGTCACATACGCAGATGGACGAAACCGCGAGAATTTTGTTAAGGATCGAGCAGCTGGGAGGAAGCATGTCATGTTATAAGAAAAGGCGCGAACTGGACTGGGTCCAGTGGCCGGGTACTCACCTACATGTGGGAAGCTGCGCACTGTGTTGGCCGTGCGGGTGTGTCTGCCCGGAAGGGGCAGCGCCGAGGTGTCCACGTCGAACCCAGTCTGCTGCCGGTACAACTCCAACATGGCTTCGGGCACCACCACCTTGCCTGGACGCGGCCTCCGTTTGAACCCAAACAGCGACAACAGACTGGCCTCCACAGTCGCCAGGACTTCAGGATTCTTCTTAAGGCTGTTGCTAGTGGTCGACTTGGGGCTGAAGGAGGAACACGCTGGCTGGAGGAGGGTCGCGAGCAGCACGGGTAGAACCATCAGCAACCCGCGCATTGTCGCTCACACTCCTGCGGCAAACACAACAAATGCAGGGTAACATTCCGCCGACTTTATTTGGCAGCTGGTCCCAAGCTCCGATCAAACACCCCGTCGTCCGTGTTTGTCGAAAATCGGCGCAAAAGCACAGAAGTCAGTTTCGCGCCTCGGAATGGCTCGGACAATTTTGAGACCGGAGTTTGATTTCCCATGAGGACAGATAATTTTCACTTTGGCCCAAAGAGCCCCCTAGCCAACGAATGCTGGAGCCCTGTCCGCAAGATAAAGAGGGATGAAGCGTAAAACTGACAACTCACGTCCATCTAGTCTGCGTCTCCATGACCTGGTGCTTAATTAAATAAACATTTGTTTGTAATTGATATTCATCCCGTGGCATGGATGTCAGATTCTCTTAGCTTGCAATTAAAGGCTGATTTACTTATCTTACCAATGGTACAGGTGTACGTCCTCCAAATTTGTATTGTCAGGTCTCGTTTGTGATTAGAAGATATCAGAAATGAAAGAACAAGGAACGCTAATGAGAATCGCAGGCGGTCGACGCAGATCATGCGTATGTGAATCGAGCTTGGAGCGCAGGAATGAGGGCGAACAGGTTGGACGAGCGAGGGTTGGAACAGGTGTGCAGTGGAGACGCAGAAGCCAGACCGCGAAGCGCCGTTCCCATGGGAACGCTGGAAGGTGACGGAGGCACGCAGTCTGAAGGGCTGAGCGACCTCTGGCACGCTTTGGGATTGCCCTTTAGTCAGCCGAATAGGTCATTCAGCATGCCGGAAAACATTGCGTAAACCCTTGGCAGGCAACTGGCGAGGTTCCCAGAAACGAACATGCTCGGATATTTGGCTTCATTTCATTTTTAACACACGACGAGTAGAATCGAAGTCTTTTCAACATTCCTTTATTACAGAGACGGCTTTGGGCTTCTAACGTTTCTTCACTAAAGAGTTTTCTGGACTCTTCCTCATCAAAGGATTGAGTGAACAAGAAGTTCCCAGTGTAAATAGTGGCTGTTCTTTGTTCAGGTGCTGAATTATATAATAAGCAGCAGCGATGAACTTTGAAACGAAGGTAGAAGTTGAGAACTCGTTTAGCCACAGTCTGGACAGAAACTCGTTTCGATTGCCAGGATCTTTCATCTTCGCGTTGGCATTAATTTCGGTAATATACTATTCGTGTAGCCTGAACTATAATGAACCTCGTACATTAAATACAAAAAGAATCAAAGCTGAAATTCGTGTTTTTCAATCAGTATTTGTATCTGTCTGTACTTGAAGCAATAGAATGCGTTTAACATTTATACGTAACATTATTCTACGTAGTGCCGTCTTCAAACCACTGCGCGTAATATTTAACCCTGAAGGTGGAGACTGCACATTCGTTGGTTGGCACACGGCTTCACGGTCCAGAAAGCCGCAACCTGCAGCTCGTCATTATTTTGTAAACGTTTTTACACGTGCATGTCGTACGCCTGTGTCCATATGAAACAGAGGAAAGGCGCATTCCGTACCGGATTACACGGGGTTTTCACGTGCGTTCTTGGCATTTTAAGTGATCCTATCTATGTATGTCGAAACTGGCGTGCGTTTCGTTGCCCTCACAGAGTTTTCATTAATGACGCTGAATGACAATAATCTATTTTAGCAAGTGCTATTTTTAGAAGTGCTTCAAATTCTGAGTTGAAAGGCAATTTCATCAAAGTCCCTGCAGCGGCTCTCGAGTTGAAATGTGTGGGCGGATATAATCAGTCCTATGTGCGTTCAGATTGTTCGACTAATGTGGCCCAGGGGTCACTCGGGAGGGCCCTACTGTGTTAAAAGTACAACAGATAAATCGCATGATAAGAATGCACGTTAATAAATACAAGACATTTATGGTCCGAACTATGAAGACAACGAGAATTCTGTCTTCCATATGCGAACATTTAAAACCGTGAGTCATTACTCACATACAATGCGCTTATAAAATCGTTCCTGGTCGTGTGAAAGTGCTTTCTTAGTTTGATTGTGTCTACGGCTAGGAGTTCCCATGCTTTATTAAGTGGCGATGCTCAGATACGGACACCTGTACTAAACAGCGGCTTGAAATGGCATCGTTACTGAACATAAATCTGCTTACGTCACGATTTGTTTAATCTGTTTCGAGTGAGAATGAATACAGAAAGCGGAATCACTCGTCTCGTTGCTTCGTGTTCCGCATCTCAAGCACATGGCACCGGGGAATTG